ACGGAGCCGCGTAGAACTTAATGGGTTACCGGGGCTCCGGCTCAAAGTGCAGGAGTAGGAACGAGGTGGTTTTTAGTCAGTAAGAGTCTGACACTCCCTCCTGACTCACCCAGGCGGGAGAACCCATTCGATGGTTTTCCCCCTTAAAAATTACCGCGTTCAGTCCTCTGATTGGTTGGTTGATTGGAGCTGGCCAATCAGAGTGCTGAACATCATTAACGTGGCGATCGCATAAACGTAAAATATTCTAGTCCCTCGGGTCTCTCCTCTCCTTAGGTGAGGCCAGAGGGAGTGGACTACCTATTTCTACTTTATGCAAAAGACAAGACAACCCGTTAAGTCCTCCGCGGCTCCTTATAGAGTCTGCCGTTATCTTATAACTAATTTCTACTTTTGTCCGACATCGATATCTAATAGATGATTTCGCTTTTAGTCGACCAGCGACAGAGTGAAGGAATGTATGAGATGTGTGTTGGAGCGTGCCGCCATCTTTATTCATTATTACAATGCAAGTGTTGATGGTATTTTGATGCCTAAACGGTGCTAGGGTTGTCTGTAGATACAATTAGGTACTTTCCTCAGTCAACCACAAAATTACACTTTTATTCATTGATATGATGATTTACTTCATTTTCCAAGTAGTTTTTTTTAGTTTGATCTGTACTTATGTAAGTATGTGCGTTTGTGCGTAACTATCTCATGATTGGCTGAACCGTTTTTGATGCGGTTTACAGAAATGTGATTTTTACACTTCGGAGAAGGTTTAAAGAGAGAAAGTATATTAATTAGCCGGCTTTAAAACATGAGGGGGTTGAAGTCAGTTTTTTAAGTGTTGTCTATAAAAGACATAACATAACATCACGCCTTTTATCCCCGAAGGGGTAGGCAGAGGTGCACATTACGGCACTTAATGCCACTGTACAATGTAACACTCACTTTTCACTATTTATGTTTAGGCCCATGTAATAGGGGGTGAGACTATTGCCATATACCGGGCACATTTCCAAACTCCGTGCTACTAGTGATTTTTTTAAAAACCCAGTAATACTTTCCCCAACCCGGGAATCGAACCCGAGACCTCTTGCCACGTCGCACTTGCGACCACTCGGCCAATGAGGCAGTCTATAAAAGAATTACTAGTACTTGGGTACGTATGCCATTGACTCAAAGGTATATCGAAGGTGACGTCACAAATATGAAATCGTGCCATTTATTTAGGGTTTAAAAATATTTTAAATGTAGACTGTCTAACATTACTTGATTCCCGCACGGAACAACTCTTTGTGTGATCCACAGATTGTTGTTTCGGGTCTGAGAGTCATGTGTATGTAAACTTATATGTTTGTAAACGCACTAACGACACAGAATAAAATCCTAGTATGGGGCAACGTTAAAAAAAACATAAAAATGATGTATTTATTTATTGTCACTGAAATAATTGTATACAATACATCATACACAAGCACACACGGCAACAAATGAAGCCATACAAGACCAGTTTATCATGGTCTCGGTTTGTGTAATCTGTCCGTACATTTGAAGGTCAATTTATACTGGATTTTTCAGCTTGATATGTGACATACATGCTAGATAAAAATCATTAATGTGTTGATGAAGTTTCTATCATGAATGCTGTGTTTAATGTAATGATGCTTTATCTATACAACAGTTGTCTCTTTGGAATATTGTTCTGAACACGCAATGGTCAAGCTAGCGCGATGAAAAACATGCTAATTTTATACATACATAATATAACATCACGCCTTTTATCCCCGAAGGGGTAGGCAGAGGTGTAGGTACATTATGCCACTGTACAATGTAACACCCACTTTATGTTATGAGTCCCATGTAATAGGGGGTGAGCCTATTGCCATATACCTGGCACAATGCAAGACTCCGTGCTACTACTGTGAATTTTTTGAAAAACCATGTAATACTTTGCCCGGCCCGGGAATCGAACCCGAGACCCCTTGCCCGGCAGTCGCACTTGCGACCACTCGGCCAATGTCTACTTCTGTTTACCCCTTCGGTGATAAAAGGTATGATGTTATACATAACATTGATGAAACAACATATGAAAGAAGGTTTGTGAGGATGTATGTAACATAACTTATATGTTAGTTTCGCATTAATGTAATAAAATTAGTAGAATTCCAAACAAAACGATTCAATGACTTATCTACAAGTTAATTGAAGTCAAACAGTCCTAGACAAAATTAACAGAATATGACGTAGGTACCTACAACCTGTAAAAAACATGTTTATGTATATTATTAACTTAACTATTCTAATTTTCACATACACGCATACGTAAATACCCGCATAGAGGTCTTTGAACTTAATAAATAAGGTTTCGCTGTGATACCCTGAGCTGTGGATGGCCTAACAGTTACCCAGGTTACGGCTCCAAGCAACAGTAGGAACGGTGTGGTTTTCGATACCCTGTCTCATCTCACCCAGGCGGGAGAAGTCATTTGATTATTATGCCATTAAAAACTAATAATAATGCTTAAGGAAATTATACAGAAACAAAAATAATATTATTATGGAGTTCACTCCTGAGCCAAGGCGAGAGAAATCATTAGAGAACATCTATCAAAAAAAAAGTTTCGTCATATCTAGATATCGAACCCGCTTTTGCCCAACCAACGAGGCAGTAGTTAAAAATCTATTAAAGAATTTTAACATTTCACAGTAGCTTTATATCTTTATAATTTTTATTTTTTTTATTGCATAAGCCGGTAAACGAGCAGATGGGTCACCTGATGGTAAGCTATTGGCGTCGCCCATGGACACCTGGAACACCAGAGGCGTTACAAGTGCGTTACCGGCTTTTTGGGAATTAGGAGTTTGAGGATCGTTGGGGATTCAGTGATTGGGGAGGTTGGGGAAGGGAAGTTTTTGTATAAAGTAAACTATAGTACAATATAATATGTCCTGCTGTTCGCTAAACCCTGCGATGCGTACTATTGGTACGTTGTACGTTCGGTTATGGCTCCCATAACTCTTGAATTACGACAGGCCCTCATAAACGTGACTACTCTAAGCAATAACTATAAAACTGGCTTCTGCATATAAATTATATATATACGTCTACAATACAATAGAGGAAGTATAAAGGTAAATGTATAGATAGTTTTTTTGTAAGGGAGGGAAATCATTGAATGACCGCTCCCGCTTACGTGAGGCGGGAGTGTCAGACTCTTACTGACTAAAAACCACCCCGTTCCTACTCCTGCACGTCGAGCCGGAGCCCCGGTTACCCGTTAGGTTCTCCGCGAATCTGATGATAGTTTAGTATATGCATCGATAGCCAAGGTCGATGTGAAATATTTGTTAACTTCTCCCGGTTCATATTGGCATTAGGTTCACTTTCAGTCTAAGTGTGGGAGAACCATACTTTAGCACGAATGGGCCTGCTTGACCGGAGTAATACTACGGCCTCACAGAAAATAATAATTTCGTTGTATTCCATCGTGTAGGTGAGGTTACTGGATTCCCAAAAACTATAAATGTAATCTACAAATTATGGCCAAATATTACAATCGAGCACTCTCTGAGAATGTGAACGAAAAAAAAAGAATTTATTTATTTACCATTAGGTAAGATGCACTGAATACACATAAAAATACTAGTAATGTTAACAACAACATATCCGCCGTCTGTCTGTCCCTATGTATGCTCAAATCTTTAAAACTACGCAACGGATTTACGGATTTTTGATGCCTTTTTTTAATAGATAGAGTTATTCTTAAGAAAGTTTTATATGTATAATACATGCATAATGAAGTACGTCCAAACACAGACACAAATACTTCCTTACTACTGTAGAAAACAAATACTAGAACTATCATCACGCTGTAATCCCCAAACGGTATAAACAGAAGCGTAATATAAAACTTCACATGAGTCTCAAGTCCCTTATAATAGGGACCGAGAGACCGTCATTACAGCCCTAATCTCGAGACTGCAACTAAGAAATTTCCTAATGGAAAACCCCAATAAAACCCGACCCGGGATTGTTTGCTACCCTTTGGGTGCAGTGGCGAAATGATCATGGGAATTAGGAGAGTATCACTTGTAATGTAAATAATTTTAATAGGGATGATGACTAAGTCTGGTAGATTATCTTAAAACTTTATACACATGTATTGTCTTTTCTTGTGAAATCAAATCTTTCGACATATGTATATATTATAACTAGCTACTTCCGCGCGGTTTCACACGCTCTGCTCAGTTCCTATTGGTCGTAGCGTAATGTTATATAGCCTATAGCCATCATCGATAAACGCGCTATCCAACACAAAAATAATTATTCAAATCAGACTTGTAATTACGGAGATTAGCGCGATCAAACAAACAAACAAAAAAACACACTCTTCCGCTTTATATAATAGTATAAGAGTATAAGATTGATTTGAAATAAGGCAAGACGATACTTCTATGTATACTTTTACTTACACATAACATAGCGCGCTCCCGTTACGAATCTTTAAATTACATTACATAACATCACGCCTTTTATCCCCGAAGTAGTAGGCAGAGCTGCACATTACGGCACTTAATACCGCTGTACAATATAACACCCACTTTTCACTATTTATGTTATAAGTCCCATGTAATAGGGGGTGAGCCTATTGCCATATACCGGGCACAATTTCAGAGCCTTTACTAACTACTGAGATTTTGTTTAAAAACCCAGTAATACCTTGCTCGACCCGGGAATCTAACTCGAGACCCCTCGCACTTACGACCACTCGGTCAACGAGACAGCAGGCGACTTTAAATTATTTTTATTATACATGTATTTCATAATTATACAAGGTTTTTAATAGTTTCTTACAATTACCGTATCTACTTATAATATCAGCTATCATAAACAGCAAAACATAACAATTATCTAATATTATTTCTAGTTATTAGTAAAAAAATGTTCTAATATCTTAAACAACATTCGAAAACATTTGAGTTTACCTAAAAAAAACATTTTCTCATTCCAGAACCATGGCGAGAATAAGTTTACTGCTGGTGATAGCATGCCAGCTAATCACCATCCCGTCCATCAGAACTGATGATGAGAACCCCTTCCTGGACCTGGCATCATCATTCCTGCAGAATATGGGAGATGGTGGTAATAACATGAATGGATTGGCTGCTATAGGAAGCATTGTTGGGAACCTGATGCAGGGAGACAATGCCAAGAACTTGGGCGCCATGTTTGGTCAGACTGACAATGGAAATGCTGGTGATATGCTGTCAGGTAAGATGCTTTTTATCGGTAAACAAGCTGACGAATGATAAGCAAATGGCGTCGCCCATGGACACTCGAAACGCCAGAGTCGGTTACAAGTGCGTTACCGGCCTTTTAGGGATTCGGAATTTGAGCATTGTTGGGTATTCATGGATTAGGGAGATTGGGGAGGGGGGTAATTGGACCTCCGGTAACCTGACTCACATGACGAAACACAACATGTTGGTTTTCTGCTGTGGTGGCCGTGGTATCACTCCGGTCGAGGCGGCCCATTCGTGCCGAAGCATGGCTCTCCCACACTTAAGATTATTTTGATGGCAGAGTAGAATAAGTTTGTCACCATCTCTACTCTTCCTGCGGGTTTCGTATACCCGAAAAAGAGAATATGTATGTGTTTATCTGAGAGTAGGCAATAGGGTTCTCTGATAAAACTGAAACTTTAACTACATGATTTAAAAAAAAATTTGATGTTTTAAAAATAGCATCTTCACTGACAGACAGACGGAAAGACAATTCAATTTTTGACTTTTCAAAACTGCGTAGGTAATTGAGGATTTTTTATTCTTTTATATTTTACGTTGCCCCACACTAGGATTTTCTCCTGTATCGTGGGTGCGTTTACAAACATACAAGTTCACATACACATGACACCCAGACCCGAAACAACAATTTGTGGATCACACAAAGAGTTGCTCCGTGCGGGAATCGAACCCGCTATACGTTGCGCGGTAGCCGGTTGCCGAGCCACCGCACCGTTGTTTTTTTTGTTAATATTTGAAAGGTAACTAAATATTCTCAGTAATGAATTTTTGTTAAAAACAAAATTTATTTTTCAGAATTGTATCCATAGGTATAATCAGCTTCTATTGTAATTTAACTTATAATAATAATATCTAATTAGTTATTGTTCATACCATTTTCACAAAAAAAACAATTGTTTACAACTACGAGTATCAATTTAGTGATCAACTCATGAACAAACTTGATACCTAGTTTAATTTGCATAAAGTTTAAATTTCAATGTCATGTTTATTTAAATAGTAATAAGCATTTAAACAATTTTGAGTAACAGAAAATGTTTTTCCCAAATTTGAGTTCCAAGTAATGAGTCTATTTTCACGAGACTGTAAATAAACTAAAGAACAAAAGACCGTTTAATTAATAACTGTGTAATTAGCAAGTGTGGGAGAGCCATGCTTCGGCACGAATGGGCTGGCTCGACCGGAGTGATACCACGGCCTCACAGAAAACCGACGTGAAACACCGCTTGTGTTGTGTTTCATCTTATGGGTGAAGTGATGAAGTTACAGGAGGTCCAATTACCCCCCCCCCCTCCCCCTCTTCATCAATCTCCCCAATCCCCGTTCTCCAACAATTCTCAAATTCCTAATCCCCAAAAGGCCGGTAACGCCACTGGTGATCCATCTGGTCTCTACTCGACTTATTCCATAAAAACATGTTCATCACTTTTAAAAAAAAATTAACTTCGATAAAATATGTGAAAACATTAGATCTATAATTTCCAACCAAGCAGAAGATGATACCAATTCCTATTTATTCCAGGTCTGGGCAGTCTACTAGGTGGTCAAGATGGCAAGATAGATCCAGCACTAGTAGGATCAATGATATCCATGTTTGCCCAGCAGATGGGAACCACAGAGTCCTCAAAACCAGCGAGACAGAAGAGAGAGAACAAAGAGCCAGGTGAACTGAATCTGGAAAGCATGATGACCTTGGCATCTGGTCTCCTCGGCAACAAGAACGCTGGAGGATTTATGCCTTTAGTAATGAACGTTTTGAGTTCATTTTCGGATAGCGAGGCTCAGAAGCGAGCTGATGAGCACAAGGACCATGCTTCATTCTTGCCTCCATTCTTGGAGAAGGCTCATTTGTACTGGGATATCTTCATAAACTCAGAGTTGGGCAAAACTATCTGGGAGAAGTCGGGTTTGAAGCGAGGATTGAAAGCCTTTACAGGACCTGATGGAAATATCAGTTTCCAGCAGATGTTTAAGAACTTTGAAAACCATTCGTTCAGGAGGCATTGGATTAAAGCTGCAGCCAAGTACTTGACTGATATGGTGGTACATGTTGCAAAGCCTGAAGTTTACAGCAGGTAAGATTTTGGACTAATTGTATTTGCTATCGTGAGATCTCTATATTAACTAAAAATCGCGGATTATACTGAGAAATGCCTACGTATAGTCGCACAGCCTACTGACTATATACTGAAGGCTGCGCGCCGCAACCGCGCACGCTGCTCATGAGGAAGAACCCCTCTGTGGTTAGAAACTAGTAGAGCTTTTCTCAGTATATCACGTGAGTAACTTTTTAGTTAATTGTATTGAATAAGTACTGTACGGTTGGCGTGATGTCTGCGCATCAAAAAAGAATACAGAATTGTGCTCGATAATTTGCAATAGTCGTGCATTAGCAGGAAAATAATAATTATAATCATATTATTATTATGGTTATGTCACCTTACTTATATATCCAATAAAGTATTTATTAATGAATTAAGTAATACATTATGAGGAAAATAATTTATTGGAATATTTTGTAAATAACCTCGATTGCGACGTTGGTCGAAAGTATTATTAGATCATTCGAAAAGTGTTAGTAATAACATGGAGTCTGGCCCTGTAACTAAGTATGGCAAATCACACCTATTATTATATGGGACTCATAATATGTCTCAGAGAAATTGGGTGTTATCTACATCGGGAAATAGTTGATTAACGTGTCGCTGTGTACATTAAATCGAAATGAAATAACTACTAATTCAAATTAATTAATTATTTTTTATTACCTAGCCTTTTTTTTAAGGGGGGAAAATCATCGAATGACTGCTCCCGCCTGGGTGAGGCGGGAGGGAGTGTCAGACTCTTACTGACTAAAAACCACCCCGTTCCTTCTCCTGCACGTCGAGCCGGAGCCCCGGTTACCCGTTAGGTTCTCCGCGACTCCGAATCGGCATCGGCCGTATTGGGCCCCATCTGTGGTGGTCTGATGGCTCTTTGAGGCGCGCGCGGAACGCGACGCGCCGTACGCTCGGGTCTGTTTCTGGTCGGACGGGGAGCCACCCATGCTCGCCGTCCGCAGGCCCGCGCTTACGGTGGCCGGAGATCGTCCCGCGATCCCCGACGCCCGGTGTGTCCTTCGCGATGGCTGGGTTGCGAGGAGGCAGCGCTTCGCTGCCTCACGCGTCCCGCCTCCTCCTTAGCTAGCATGACTGCTTCGCAAAAGGAGGAGACGGCATCCCAATCCCCCTCGCTCCGCATCATGGCCTGCACTAGGCCCGGACGCGAGAGGTCGCCAAGACAGTTAACCGACATAGACACGGCAAGACTAGTGTACTTCAGTTACTTCCATAGCATCATGTCGTATGGCATTTTGCTGTGGGGACACGCTGCGGACACTGAGTCTATCTTTATCTTACAAAAGCGCGCCGTCAGAGCTATCTACAACCTGGGTCGTCGCGAATCTCTCAGAGAAAAGTTTAAGGAGATCAACATTATGACCGTTCCATGTCAATTTATTTATGAAAACATTATGTATGTTAGGAAGAACCTACAGTTGTTTGGTAAAGTGTCTGACAGACACCACTATCAAACTAGACATAGGGATAGACTAAGTCAGCCACTATTTAGATTGACAAAAGTACAAAAGTCCTTTATGGGATTCTGTGTTAAATGCTATAATAAAATTCCGGAGGAAATACAACATTTAAATGAGTCAAAATTTAAATTATATATTAAAAAAACGTTATGCGGAAAAGCATACTACAAACTTAATGATTACATAGAGGATAAAAATGCTTGGAGGCATGCTGGTCCGGCTCCACAGGATAGCGAAAAACATTGATGTTCCAATGAGTTCCAATCATGTCAAATACAGCCATTTTGTTCAAATGTACACACTGTAAAACTTTATATAGGTAACTATTGTAAATGTGAGAGCCCTGTAACTACCTAAATTAAATTAGACTAGTAGAATGCATGTGTGTCAGCCTGGAGTTGTCATGCTCACTCAAAAGTCTCATTGGCAGTGGCACGGGCAGTGGATCGCTCGATTCCCTATAACATGGTCGAGTTGGGCGGTGCTGGTGTACGTGTCATGTTCGTGAACGGGCGCTGTCAAATGGGACTGGTCAGCTCCAGACTGTATTAAATTTGTTGTCCTCAAGGTTATTTTCTTTTTCCGTCTCCTTGACCAAATATTGGTATTACATTGTTCTCACATTATTGAACTCAACGGAAGAATGTAACCAAAAATTGTATTGTGAACATGATTGAAAAAGAGTAACCTATGGAGTTTCTTGCTCGTTCTTCTCCATAGGAATCTACACTTTGGAACGAGCAAATAGCTTCACTAGAGGACGGACTTACAGACTGACATATTTTTTTATTCTTATTATTTAGTATTTAAATATTTTGTTTTGACGTTCAAAAGTGCCTTACTGGTCTAATTGAAATAAATGATTTTGACTTTTGACTTTTGACATATACATACAAGAATATAGCTATTTAGATAATCCTAACCAGAGCTGCGGACGGCCTAGCGGGTAACAATCGAGGCTCCGGCTGAAAATAGAAGTAGGAATAAGGTGGTTAGTAGTCAATAAGACTCTCTGACACACGCTCTCGCTTCATCGAAGGCGGGAGAAGCCATTGGATAATTTTTCCCTTTCCCCTTTCAAAAAAACTATTTAGGTAATAGACAATAAAGCGTTACACTAGGTGCAAATGTTCCACGACATGTATCGAAGACATGTTAAGCGAAGCCGGCCGACTTTACCGCACATGACATATAATAGCGACAACGCGCGGGGAGAAGACCAGTGCCTTTAGCTAAACGCCACTTTAGCGCAGTCTACAAAGAGAGAGTAGAAATCAAAATGTATGGGGATGATACTGACAAGTGTCAAAATTTACGTCAATTCCATATAATTTGGTTTTCTATTCTACATGTAGACAAGCGCTAAATGGCATTTGGCTACAGCTGCTGTGTTGCCAGACATATCGGGTGAAGTCCAGCAACGTAGGTGTATAATTAGTACGTACTACTACGGGCTGGAGCTGAAAATCAGGGTTGAGGAGTCGAGCCTTCGTACCCGGGCCAAAGTATTAAGCTGAGCTCCAGCCTTTTACGCTGCGACGCACCATGGGCTGTTTGTGTGTATTCTTGTTGTGTGTCGTAGCGTAACAAATGGTCTTTCTTTTCTTTCATGACATTCGACGTTGGGTGAGGTACCCTCACCCAACGTCGCCGGTGACACGTGTCGCAGGACATTAATGTCGCCTAGTTTATTTTTTTTATGGCATAGGCCGGTAAGCGAGCAGACGGATCACCTGATGGTAATCAATCGGCGTCGCCCTTGGACACCTGGAACACCAGAGGCGTTACAAGTGCATTACCGGCCTTTTGGGGATTAGGAGTTTGAGGATCGTTGGGGATTCAGGAATTGGGGAGATTGGGGAAGGGGAGGGTAATTGGGCCTCCGGTAACCTCACTCACACGACGAAACTCAACGCAAGCATTGCTTCACGTCGGTTTTCTGTGAGGCCGTAGTATCACTCCGGTCGAGCCGGCCCATTCGTGCCGAAGCATGGCTCTCCCACACTATCCTTGGCTTTAAGTAACATGCATGTATAAAGTTAAAATGTAATGTGCAAACACCGGAAAATTCGTTGTTTAATAGTATTTAGTTTAAATCGACTAATTTGTTATACGGAAAGTTACCAGTTTTCACTTGTTCGTCGTCTGTCGAGAGATTTCAATCTTACTTTCAAAACTTTGGCAAACTTTAATTGGTTTAAATGGTGATGACATTTTGGAAAATTGTTTAAAGTTACGTTTAAATACAATTTTATCGTAATGTTCGAAGTGTTGACGTTTACGGTTGGACAATTAATTTACAATGGCACACTCAGTGACAGCAAGAATTGTCACAACCAAAATGTTTTGACAAATTAATTTTCAGTTTTTATTCACAAAGATAGCAATTCCCTAGGACTTTTAGTAACTCTGAAACGATTTATATAATATTTTTAAACGTGCATGTCAAGTAAATTTGTTTTAGTAAATGTAAATACACTAACATAACACAAGCGTAGTTGCGTAGCGGCTACGCTTGCTGCTACACTGACGTAGTAGATACGTGGAGATGGCGTAGTCGCTACGCTTGCTTCTGCGAATACGCTACGCGTTGTGACGATATGCTACGCTCAAATATCATGTATTACAACAAAAATCCTTAATAATTTTGTATTTGTTTCTTAAGGATTGATTAGTACCAAAATATCGTATCTTCTATTAATTTAAGATGATCGATCATCTGGCCTTGACAGTCACTACTGCAACTAAGAATTTCAAAAACAATATTGCTTAGCGTGCTAGCAATATCTTAATCAACCAAGCTAATAAAATAGTGGCAAATACGTAAAATATGTCGTGGTGGCCCGGAGGTTTAAGACAGACCACCAACGGCAAGTACCAATGTGACTTTTTCCGAGTTATATGTACTTTCTAAGATTATTTATACACCACTGACAAACGGTGAAGGAAAAACATCGTGAGGAAACCTGAACTTATAATTTCTAATTATAAGTTTGAAATCGCCAACCCGCATTGAGCAAGCGTGGTGATTAATGCTCTAACCTTCTCCGTGTGAGAAGAGGCTTTGCTCAGCAGTGGGCATTAATAGGCTGTTGATGAAATACGTAAATTATATAAAAGACCTCTAATCTCACATTACTTTATTAGTTTTCACAAAGCGGGACAATTAGACCCTCCAGAACATATTGTAGGTATGTATATATTGTAACTTTTAGGACAATAAATCAATTTAACAAATTCTAACTACCTTGTTACCCTATGTCAGTATCAGATGCTAAACTTATTATAAAATGGTAGTTCGTTAACCTTTGAACTGGGAAAATGGACTTTATTATATAAGTCATATGGGTGGTCAAGGTCAAAGGTTTGTAGGAGTTCATCCTGTCCATCAACTTTTGTTTTTGTTTACCAAACTCTCCTAAATTTTAAGGAACTACTTAGCTAAAATAGGTGGCACTTAACAACATTTTATTTACAAGCTAACAGAACAAGTAAGGGGTTACTTTAAATGCTAAATAACATTAAGGTAAGAGGTGGTTTAAGGGTGGATGATGACAAATGACAACGGTCTTATTATACAAATGAGTAACGAATGGAGTTTCTTGCTCGTTCTTCTCCGTTCGAATCTAAATTTGGAACGAGCAGGTGAGTAGTGAAGCTAGGTAGCTTCACTGACGGACAGACTGACAGACTATTATTTATTTTGTATTTGTTGACGTTTCAAAAGTACACAATTATAGTTAAATTAAACTCAATGCTTTGATTTTAACTTTGACAATGACCGGGCAGCAGCGCTCTCTGATGAAACTGAAATATACTGCTAATTAAATTAAAATTAAATGATACACGTGTATGTATGGGTTTCATGTATTGTAATACCATTCGTAGAAATTCAATAATGAAAACGAATAATTTTCAATTTGTTTGTCCAACAGTATTGTGGTTTTGGCATGGCTAATCGGTTATTTATCAAATGTACAAATTGGATTTTAATTTATCTACTACCCCAGATGTATTATGATTATAAAGATTAAATTAAAATAAGAGGCCCATGTACGTCACATTCATTTAGTGTGGGAGAGCCATGCTTCGGCACGAATGGGCCGGCTCGACCAGATTGATACTGCGGCCCCACAGAAGACAACGTGAAACAACGCTTTCGTTGTATTTCGTCGTGTTAGTGAGGTTACCGGAGGCTCAATTACCTCTTCCCCTCTTTCCCAATCCCTGAATCCCCAACAATCCTCGAATCCAATAATCCCAAAAGGCCGGTAACGCACTTGTGACGCCCCTGGTGTTCCAGGTGTCCATGGACGATGCCGATTGCTTACCACCAGGTGATCCGCTTGCTCGTTTAGCGGTTAATCCCATAAAGAAATCCAGTTCCAGAACAATAATTTAAGAATTTTTCCGTGTGGGGATCGAACCCGCGACAAAATACACAGCATCCAATTGCCCAACCACTACGCCAACCGCATGCAATCAACTTTGAATGCTTACTCACAAATCTTCTCCAAATTCCCAGGTACCTGATATCAGGTCAGTACATCACGAACAGCTTCCTGGACTCCCAAGGTTTCCCTAAGAGCACACACTTCAACGTGAAGAAACCAGAACAGTCCCTGACTACGCTGCTGAACCACGTACTTAAGAAGTACTTGGATATGGACACCGATGTCGGTGAATATGTGGTACCAGCTGTGGAGTATGTCAAGGTAAGGGCACTTTGAATGTGGGCAAGGAATTACTTTGAATAAACTGCGTTTAAAACCACTCAACTTTAACCTCCTTCTTTATTTCAAGTCAGTTAATTTACTAACACCTGTTCATCACTTTTCTACAAACCGCATCATAATCGTTACAACCAGTCTCGAGATAATTGCGGACAAAATTGCATCCTTTTTTTATGGCATAAGCCGGTAAAGGAGCAGACGGATCATCTGATGGTAAGCAATCGTCGTCGCCCATGGACACCTGAAACACCAGAGGCGTTACAAGTGCGTTACCGGCCTTTTGAGGATTATTAGTTTAAGATCGTTGGGGATTCAGGGATTGGTGAAATTGGGGAAGGGGAGGGTAATTAAGTCTCCGGTAACCACACTCATACGACGAAACACAACGCAAGCGTTGCTTCACGTCGGTTTTCTGTGAGGCCGTGGTATCACTCCGGTTGAGCCGGCCTATTCGTGCCGAAGCATGGCTCTCCCACACTACTTTAATACAGGTGAAACTAAGAATCCTAAATGATACCCAACGTCGACTGTTCACTAATTACCACCCGAAATTATGTGTATCAAAGACATTTCTTTTCTTCCACAGCAAACCCTAAAAATGGCAGAAGCAACCACAAAGACCATGTCTACCAGGGGCGACTACAACGCCATCGCTGACCGTCTGACTGACACCCTGAACTTAGAGGTGATAGAACCAGTGCTGAGGGTGTACAGAGCATACCAGCATTCAGTGAAGGCTCCTCACTGCCAGGAACATCTCATGTGCCTTGTTAACAGACACCACGACCAGGATAAAAAAGGTTTGTATTTTTAAATAAAGCTGAAATTAAGTACTGGGGTGCTTACTTTTAATTACAATTCCTATCGATCGACATTGGTATTGTGAAATTCCGTACTCTTGAGTTGCTACACGAGCGCCCATTGCATCCGTATTGCGTAGATATTGAATGAACTAAATGGTATTGAGTTTGGCTTTATATTCCGTACTCTAAATGCTATTGTAACAGCTACGATAGGGGTTGTATAGTTTTGACATTGAATAATTATTGAGATTTTATTGCATTGACATTCAAGAGTAAGCACCCTGAACTCGATCTATAGTCCATCTGTTTAGGTAATTAACTAAAGGTAAACAAAAAAAACCACGTGACACAGAGATACTTAACCTTCTATTACTTCAAATATTTCTCGTGTTTTAATTTAAACTAAATTCACTTTAAAATCGTTCATTTGTCACACACACACATACAAGCACAAATGCCTAAATCGTACAAGAGCCTAGCCTATGGGTCTATTTCAATATCATGTTTAAATAGAAACTATTCTGAATCTGATGTACGGATTTCTTTCTTGTACGGATATGTGTCTTTGGGCCAAGTTTCTTCAATATATTTGAACACATTAATTACAAACGATGAATAACCTAAACTTAAATAACGTAATAACAAAAACAAGATAAATTCAACAAAATAGGAACGCGAGCGCAAACGACGAGAGAGCTGTCAATGGCGCCTGATTATCCGACTAAACGTTATACACGCTACTTTCACTGTCGCGCTACATCTTAATTGGACTCTTTAATTTGACAACATTATCTAATGCTTCGTTCATAAAGAAAGGTTTTGGATACCTGGGATTTTAGGCTCTTTATGGTGTCTATTGTAATGAAAAATTATATTATTTGATAAATGTTATTAAATTATTATGCTCAAGCAGATATATGTAATATTTACTAAGAAATAAGTGAAAAGGAACAGAAACATAACATTTAATAGAGAAAACTGTCGTAAAATAGGAAACAATTTTATTTTCTTATGAAGTATTTTGAGTCATGGAAATGTAAACTATAAAGAACTCTTTTTATGGTTTGTTTACAAATAGTTAACTACCTAAACAGACGGAGTATAAGTCGTGTAGATTGAGTTTTCGAATTAAAATAGATTATTAATTATTTCCGTTCGTTATTCTTCGTGGTGGCCCAAAGGTTTAAGACGATCGCTTCTCATGCACGAGGGTGCGGTTAGAAACCAACCAACGACCATTGATATTGTAATATTTCATACTAAAAGATGCAACACTAGCGTCCATTGCATCCGTATTGTATTGAGTTTGGCTTTATATTCCGTACTCTGAACGCTATTTTATAGCTACGATTAGGGTTTTATAGTGTTGTCGTTGAATAATTATTGATATTTTATTGGATTAGAGGTATAAAATTCGACATTGAGATACTTACTAAGAGAAAGCACCGAGTTATGTTATGTTACACATCCCGTGTTAACATGGTACAATTTACCATAGGTACTATTAGTGACTATATCGTGCTACATTCAGATAATATCAAATTTTGCAGTCAATTAGGTATTATAATAGATGCCTACATACATAAATATAGGTATTTACCATCAGCCATGTCATGTCCCTAGCAAATATTAAATAATGTCCTCTATCACACGAAAGAGCAATAAATAATTAAACAACAGTAGGTACCTACCTACAGGCATACAATTATGTTATAAATTGTGTCTATAATGACGATACTCAAAGGGTTAAATATGGAAAGAATTAGGTACCTACCGCAATTGTGTAAACAGGAAAAAACACGCAGCTTAAGTATACAATATCATGTGCTATCTTATATATACTTAGGTACTTACAATTATACATATAAAGAGTTTGTTTCTTTGTTTGTTTGAACGCGCGAATCTCTGGAATAACTGGTCCGATTTCAATAATTATTTTTGTCTTATAAGTTTCGTAAGACATACTAAACTGATTATTATGTTTTTCGGCTTACTCACGTAATTATTTGACGAGGAACTCGACTAGTTGCAAGCCACCCCACACTCACCCATGCTAAAAATATTAACTTCTTAATGTCCGATTATCACAAATCCGCAACGTTTGTTCATATACAAAATTTGTCTCTAAACATCCGAAACGTCGCGGAGAACCTAACGGGTTACCGGGGCTCCGGCTCGACGTGCAGGAGAAGGAACGGGGTAGTTTTTAGCCAGTAAGAGTCTGACACTCCCTCCCGCCTCACCGAGGCGGTAGCAGCAATTCGATGATTTTCCCCCCTTAAAAAAAACATCGGAAACAAAGTATATAATGGTGTATGTTGGTGTAAGTCAGCTATCGATTTCATGATGATAATTTTACTTTTCCAGGTATACCAGGCTTCAAGGCTGGTCTCACGAAGCTCAGCAGTTTGGCAGCATCAGCGGCACTCAGCTTCCAGAATGGCAAAGGATTCTTCGATTTATACAACGCTATCCAGAATGATGTAAATTGTGAAGTAAGTAAAACACGAATTACGCTTTCCCCCTATACTTATTATGCTCTTTGGAGGTTTTACTGCAAACTGCTGTTAGAATAATGCCTTATTTGCTCTATGCTAGTATTTTATCAATCGATTTGACAAAATCGACAATAGTCAATTTAAACAAAAGCCTGCATTTGGTATTGCCGTTTAAAATGAGCTTAGAGGGAAATCTAATCTTATTACCTCTCTTTATATAGTCTTTATTAGAAACCTGCCTACTATGGTATAAGAATTTCAAAATGTAATAACTAAGACTGCCACCTTGGCCGAGTGGTCGCAAGTGCGACTGCTGGGCCAGGGGTCTCGGGTTGGATTCGGTCGTACAAAGTATTACTGGTTTTTTTTTTAAATTTCTCAGCACGGTGTCTGGAATTGTGCCCGGTATATGACAATAGACTCACCCCCTATTACATAGGATTCCTAACATAAATAGTGAAACGTGGTTGTTTCATTGCACGGTGGCAATGAGTGCCGTAATAAATCGGCATGAATTTATTATATTTCATAATAATTATTATAGGAATTATTGGGAGTCTAACGAAGAACACTTATAATTTTTTAAACGTTGTAAATCCATTTGTTTCTATGACTTATTTAATGATAGGAAAGCTTTACTAACACTTTTTGGTCTAAAATACATATATGTTTAACTCATACCTACCTATGCTTCTTTTTCCAGGCGGCATACCCAGCAGACTGTTCAGCATTCCACGAACACGAGCTGAAAGTGACAACAGAAGTGTACCATAGCGAATTATAAGCACTTATTTATAAGTAGACCAACTTAATTTATGTATTAACTTAATGTTATCCCTTCCCTGTACTTAGGTAAAGAGTGAGCACTATTTTTGGCTTTTTTGTTTGTATTCATCATTTTTTGGGTTTCGTTTTTATAAAGAGCACAATGAGAAATTATTATGTTAAAATGTCATAAAAATATAAGTATTCATATCTAGCATTAACATTTGGACATTCTTAAGTAATTCACACGGAATTTACTTAATAGCAATTAAAGAAAAATAGCTAGACACGTTCCTGGAACTGCGAAATGGAGCTCCAATTACATAAATATGTGATTACCTTTCATGTATGTAATTAATATTATTTACACACTTTCATTACTTCATTACCTATCATTGTTTTCATTACTTCTTCCTTAATTCTATAAATTATCAGCAAAAATCACGAATTTACTTAAAATTCATTGGATCATTTCCATAATGACCCATTAAAAATGAAAATGATTCAGTCCATTAATAAATTTATGGCACTTTCAAATGAATTGTGGCACTTTTCTATTTCTAATAATTTAGTTTCTTATCATTTTATATTTGTCTAAATATACTTGATTTTATATTTAAAAGTGATAATTATGTTCATAATAAAATTATGTACTTATAAACCGGTTACATACTCGTTGTTACTATGCAACAGTTACATTTTAAATGGATAAATAATCCTTATTAGCCCCGTTATAGCATTTTATATAGAATTTCAAATCTTTGGAAATGGTCGTACCTACCTACCTATTGATTTTAGAAATGTCAAAAATATTCATTATCGTAATTCCGATTTTATGGCGAAAACCAGTTGCATTTAGGTTTCAGAGAATTATTATAAAATATAATTATTATTATAATATATATTTAAAAATGTACTTAGTATTGATAGTTACTATAAAATTGAAATTAAGTAAAATAATTTTAGTTTTTGCTGGACATTTGGTGCTAAAGTTTATATTGCATTTAATTGACTTCTGCCTATCTTCAAATGGTAGGCACAAGTCGAAATTATATAGATAGATGTATTAATATATTAAAATCTCGAATCTTAATATAATAATAATTTAAATATAATTTTTAAATATTAAAATTTATTTGATGTCATTATTCATTTTATAATGTAAATACATTCCAAATTTATGTAAGAAATGGGAAATAAAACTCTTAGACTGAAAAATCGTATTATTTATTCATATGGAAGTTACCTAAGTATGCATTTACTATCGTACAAAAAGTAAAATTGCACAGTGAGAATTATTTTCGAAAATAATGCACGTCGGTGCAATTTTTATTTAGTTTTACATCAATACATTTATTCCAATGCTGTTGCGATACCTAATACCTATAACTAATATTAAATTATTTCAACCAAATCACACAACCTGCAAAATAATTACTTTACAATGATAAGAGATGGCGCTGTAGTCCTAAGGTCCTTTAATTAAGATATGTTAGGCTCCGCGCATTTTATGATTCGTTGGCAATACTTTCCTGATAACACGGGCACTCCAACTCCTCCTAAAGGCTCCTCACGTCTGTGACCCAGGATATTCTTCCTAGTGCAGATATTCAAACGTAGTGATATCTCTGATTTATTGTACTATGACTATTATATTATAATGAAAAAAGATTATCATAATCCATCACTATCCTGTACCCCAGTGTGATTTGATCAAAAAAATATATAAAAAACATCAACTAACATCTTATTAATATTAGGCATTAGTGTGCATTAGGATCATTATTAATCAAGAAAAAAATACTAAAAAAGGAACATAATTTCAATCAACTGTTTATAGACTCAAAACTAAAATTAGGGCAGTTTTATTAATAAATAACTAAATATTAACTAGAGTATTGAAATTAAAATAGACGTAGCTTAAAAATAATATACATGACTACGCTATAATAATATACATATCGTACCTCCGGTGCTATAATGTCACTTAATATTGCGGGGACCCGCGCGCAACTGAACAATGAAACGTTGTTTCTCCCAGTGCCATCCAAATTATCGCCAAAACCGTAACGACAGCAATGCCCTCACGAGGACAGTTTGCGTACTACACAAATGACAATAACGCACCAAGTAAAGAGGTGAATTTGGTATTCTTTCATAATCAGTTAAGTTATGACAAAAATTGCATAATAGTGACGATATTGCACCGTAGGTAGGTTCGATATATTTTGTCAGTATCTCAACATCATGCAACATAGGTACTTTCTTATTTTATTCTGCAAAAGTGTTGTCAAGATCTACAAATAAAATTCCACTATTTCGCTAGTAATGTAGTGAGACCCATGTTTTAGGCCAATTTTGTATCATAGGTATTTTACACCTAGAAGTTGCTTATTTTAGTTAATTTTAGTCGTCTAGGTACTTTCCTGACTTATAAGAATTTCTAAACTAAAATACATAATAATACGAATATTGTCTACGGTCTAGTCTACCTACTCAATCCGAGAGAATAGACAAACGAGGTAGTGTTGCCAGTAGCATCAAGCTTAAAGTTTCAAATTACGTATTTTTTGTTACCATTCTTAAAAATAAAACTTAATAAATAGTCCTAATGTTCAAAGCCACTCAATATAATGTTGTATATAATTATATTATACTTCTGTCACTAAAACTCTTTGTAACATGACAAGGATGGCACGATATTTAAGTACAACTTAATTGAGTAGTTTTACAGTATTCGGGCGTAAGTGGAGTGTTTAGCCTCTAATTATAGACTATTTAGTTTAAAGACTAGATATGACTATTTCGTTCAGATTAGAATTGGGTAGTTTCCCGGGTATCAAAATTAAAAGTCTAAGTAGTCCGTCAATTAGATAATGAAAAAATATTAGACACGTATTTTTTTTCTCGTATTAAGTTGCAATACTTAGTTAAAAAGGCGCTAAGTTTAGGAGTGGGAAGTCGTTACGTCATAACGTGCTACAAAATATGGCACGCTGTGACGTCACACGATATTTCAAATTAATATTTCGTAGAAAGTATTTAATTTTGTGAGAAACGAAAAAATACGAATCTAAAGTTTTAAATTAATGTACCAGACGGACATTAAATTAAAATTTAGGAAACTACCCTATTGACTTTATAACTACCATTTAAGGCATCCACAAATAGTGTTGTTCCAAACTAAAAATGAAAGTATTGTTATTTGGAACATACACTCAAATTAATTATTTTCATAACATATAACTAATGAAAATAAAATTATAATAGGTAGGTACTACATAGTTATGTAATTATGTGTCTGTATGTTAAAACATGTAGATATAATAGTTGTGTGTCAAATAGGCAAAACTAAATTAAGAAATTAACTAAAATTTCACCTTTGGACGGATTCCTTTAGACTAGAATATCATTTAAATCGAAAGAATATAATTTCTGATTGGTCAATATTTAAAGACAATGGAAAATGTATGTTAAGCGTAAATTGCCGTTTTTATAGAATTAATTTGTTATTTCTTAGCCGGGATGTTTTTGCAGACCCATTCCATGCCTTCCTGTAAGAAAATAAGGCACATTTTGGAGTGACAGGAAAACCAGTAACATATTTTTATGAGCAGTGGACATCTTAAGAATCTAAATCTATGATGAAATGGTACAAACCTTAACTCCAGTGCCATCAGTAGCCACGCAGGCCTGTATCTGCCAAGTACGGTCTCTTATCAGATGTAGACCTAGGTGCTGAGCAATCTCACTGGCCGGCAGAGCTAGAAAAAGAAAATAATTTCATTATGAACATAAACAGTAATAAAATAAAGTTAAACAGAGATCATACCTCCTAAATAGGATTTAAACCAACTTCAAAAAATGATGAAAAGGTGGTTGAAGTAAATTTTTTAGACATAGTTTATTGAAAATTATTATATTCAATAATAGAAGTTATAACACTTAAAATTTTACCTGACGCTAAATCCTGCTTATTGGCATAGACAAGTAATGGTACTCCTCGCAACTTCTCATCTTCCAACAGTTCTGCCAATTCCTGACCTGTCTCCTCCAGCCTTTGGTGATCAGAGCAATCTACTACATATATCTGGAAATGATAGTTATTTGATGCTATTATTTTGGGTGATATTGTAAACAGCGACTTACCCAAGAAACAGCTACAAATTATCTTGATTACATTGAATGAATGAATCATGTCTAGTGAAAATATTACATCCTTACTAATATTATAAATCGGGAAGTGAGTTTGTTTGTTTGTTCCACTTCCACGCCGTAACTACTAAACCGATTGCTTTGAATTTTTGCAAACGTAAAGTTAGAAGTCTGGATTAAATAATAAGGTACTTTTTATCCCGGAAATATGTGATATTCTCGAGGAAAAACGAAATCATTGGTATAGATGGCGCTGTGTGTATAGGTCACTTAGGCTACTTTTTATCCATTTGTGACGCGAGCGAAGCCGCGGGTAAAAGCTAGTTGTATATAAATGTCTACTTTTCGGGGACTAAAAAGCTACGCGTTAAGTTTAGGTACAATAAGCATTTTTAAAAAAATCAAATATTTTTATATATACTCACCAAAATGTCAGTATTTTCAAAGTAATTCCGCCAGTATGGTCTTATTTTTCTCTGCCCACCTATATCCCAGACGTTCAACTTAAAACCGTTTGATAAAACTGACTTAATATTGAAACCTGCTGTTGGAGTAACATGATTTACATCTTCCGAAGCCAGTTGTTTTAGAAGAGTAGTTTTACCCGCATTATCCAGGCCTAAGAGCAGCAAACGCAATTCCTTATCAGGATTAGATCGCAGCTTTTTCAAAATATTCAGTAGACCCTAAAAGTTACAGAGCGAAATCAGCACAAAGAATAACATAATTCTTACGCGTATTATGTAATTTCAGTTAAAATACCATCATGGAGATAATTTCTGGAAGATTCACCAACTATCAATTAAGTTTTTATTGGTAGAGACCAATACTTATCATCGTAATTTAATTAATTCTGAGCGACTTGCGTGAATCGAAAGAAATTTGTTGACATGTCACTGTTTCCATGGTAACGTGCTGAACGTTTCGTTTCACCGTGTTTGTAATATATTTTATTGTACTTTGAAAGAAACGCGTGTAAACTCAAACTCAAACTCTTTATGTGCATACGTTAAGGTAATATATACAGGTCATTACAGGTCTTATGAAATAACAGGCACAGCTATGTTTGTTTCAATTTCCAATAATTTATACTATCAATAAATACAATGACAAAAAAATATAAGATTATTTCTGTCACATAATTTGTCAAAAGACTTCTGGACCTTATCTAAAACCATAAAATTATATATTTTTTTTTTACTACATTTGACTCGAAGATTTCGCTACTTATCAATAATTTAGTGTTTGGTTATTTGTATTTTAAGTTGTATATATTAATTATACTTAAGTTATTTATAATTATTTAAAGATAGGTATCTTTTCTGATTTCTATACGTTATGTGTCAAAAATTTCTGAACGCTGATCATTTGTCATTTTCTAACTGTCAAGTTGCGGTGCGGTGTGGTTAGCGTGTTCCGTGTTGTGGTCTGCGCACGTGTGGTAAATTTTGTTATTTTCAGTAAAAAGCCTATCAATTTACTATCAAAATGGGTAAAATAAAACAAGAACACGTCGAACAAGAAGATCAAGCTGACGTTAGTGTTAAAACTGAGCCACAAACTTACGACGAAAAAGTCGAACATTGCAGTGTGATTGCCAAACCGATGGCGCCGAAGAAACTTAGCAAAAAGATATACAAACTCATCAAGAAATCTACTTCTCACAAAAACTACCTTAGAAATGGCCTAAAAATCGTACAAAAACAACTGCGGCTAGGTGAAAAAGGGTAAATAATGTTTTTTTTAGTTTTATTTTGAGGTTATGTCTTTATTCACACATTGCGATACAAGCCGGTAGATGAGAAACCTAAGTTGGAACCTAAGAGGAAATTATCCTCAGCCGATGTTAATTTTCATTCTTGTAGACTACAATACCATGAATAAGTAAAGCTATAGTTAATATACGTAGCCCTGTTTAGTTCATTCGTATACTGCGTAGATACATCATCTGACGCCAATGTGTTTGTTTTACTATTTTGCGCAAATGATATAATATTACTGACCTAATTTACATGATTCGTCAGGAAGTTACAAATTCATTGATGTAACTTATGGCTATACCCCTAACTACATTAAACACCACATCCATATTCTTGTCTGATATTAGGTAGTGTTATGGCAAATCTTGTAACTGTCAAACAACGGTGACCATAACCTACTGTTCTTGAATTGTGTCTTATAGACATGATGGTACTCAAAGAGTTAAATTTTTTAACTTTTATAATTTTGTGTTTATTAAAACTAAAACACCATCTAATAATATCAAATTCTACATTCCAGGCTAGTATTCTTCGCTGGAGACATTTCACCAATTGAAATTATGTGCCACTTACCCGCTGTTTGTGAAGAAAAGGACATTCCATACTGCTACACACCTAGCCGTAAGGACATTGGTGCAGCTATGGGCACAATGCGAGGCTGCGTTATGGTTCTCGTAAAAGAACACGATGACTACAAAGATTTGTACCAAGAAGTACGAAGTGAAATCAAATTGCTCGGACACCCAATTTAGATTGTAAGTTAAGATCGTACTATTTTATGTAGAAGATTGTGGTCTTATCTTGTAGGGTTCATGTACCTCTGTGTAATTAGATTCTCATACTGACATTGGTAGTGTAGAAATTTCAACATTGTTGTATACATTCAATATTTATAGATATAATTATATAGGAGTTGGCTGTGGTAATTTTGTGTTGCCTTAACAGATGGTTACTTAAAAGGTCTATATATTATGGTACATTCACTCTAAAGTATTACTATGGACTTCTTTAAACATTCTGTATCAGCAATTCATTATTAGAATCCTTTTCATTACAGAAATATAAAATGTGCCTTTCTTTTCACATGGTCTTTTGCTCCGAGATAGTAGATTTTTCACTGATTTTCTTCAAAATTAGTAATAACATTTCTAAGTGTCTAACCTCAGTTTAACTTGTGCCTTTTATGTATGCAATAAGCCTTTTAGTCTTTTTTGAGGCAAGATATCGCCAAAAACAAAACAATTTTTTGTAGCTAGTGCTATAAAAATTACGCAGGCTGTAATTAGAACTTTATTGACAATTTATAAGGCATAAATTTGAAAAATTTTGTAAAATTCCTTGTCGTAAATAAAATAAAAACCTACCAGTGTGTAAGGATGTATTCACTACATTTCAATAGTCTTTATTCTATTAGCAATAAGGATGTTATTCAACTGTTTTGCTGGTATTTTGAACATGCATTATTTGACATTACTTGGTGGCTTAAAATGTGTCTAAAAATTCAATTTTATTAATTGTTAAGTTAGGTTTAAGCAAAAAATATTGGTGTACAAGAAATATGAAATAATATTGTAACATTCTTGTGTACTAAGATTTTTTTAAATAGACAAATTATTACCTTTGCATTTGTTTCATTTTAGTGCTGACAATGTGATGAACACAAAACCCTTTTTTGTAGAAAATTGACATTTCATTTATTGTTCTTTAGGGCAATAAATACATATTTGAGCCAACTACATACAATATAGTACTTGTTGAATCTTGATGATATCTTTCTTCACACCTTAAATATATCATAGTATATGTTTTACTAATTGTCTTCGGAACACCCTTTGTTTCAAAAGCTAGTAAAAACAGGGAAGAATATAAATAAAACAATATGTTAGTTACACATACATTTAATACACTTATTAAAATCTATGGGTACGTAAAAAATGGCAGATTGTCAGAATGACTGACAGTGAAGATTGGCAAAATACAATTACGTTTAATTACGCACTAGGATCACTAGAAATATCTAAGCTAGAAGTCTAGATTAGCTTTAGGAAGTAAGTTACTGTAAACTTTTAGTGCACAAAACCAATTATGTTTAATAAAAGAACATCCATATGCAATTCCATATACATACTTCTATGATTCTATTTACTTTAAAAGACAAAGAACATAGTTTATTTTAAAATGTACTGTAATAAAATTAGTTGAAAGTGTTCATATTGTTATTTTATACATAGAAGAAGTAGGTAATATTTATATTATAGTCTACAGAAACTTGCACCCTAAACAGTAATTAGTAATTGAAGCAGTATTTAATTTAGTTAGAATAACCCTGCTTTTGAATGAGTGCCCAGTAATGTATGAGATCGTAGTAGATATTCATTAAAATTTTTACTTTACACTTGCTTGCAAAAAAATTTGCTAACTACTTTGTGGTAACTTATTATGTGTAACTGAATCAATATACACCGTGAAATCTATTTCGTTTTCGTAAGTTATTGATGTGTGACTGAATCAATATAGACTTATGTTTACTACTATTTTCACCATTATGAAACCCAAAAGATGTTCAGCACAATGTCACGCTTAGGGATTTTATTATTTTTTTAAGAGAAAATCATCGAATGACTGCTCCCGCCTGGGTGAGGCGGGAGGGAGTGTCAGACTCATACTGATTAAAAACCACCCCGTTCCTTCTCCTGCACGTCGAGCCAGAGCCCCGGTAACCCGTTAGGTTATCTGCGACACGCTTAGGGATATGCAGATGTTTACATAATATAATGCAGCAGCATGGGTGACTTTTCATAATATATCTGAAGGTATGTTTCATGTATCAGAGACCTCTTATGCTTGGTAATGTTTTATTTAGCTTGACCTGTATGTTTGTTTGGGTCATATTTTATCGTTGGAATTTCTCCACCTTCCTGACCACAGATCATCCTGGTTTTGGTACACACTATTATTCTTGATGAACAAACATATTAAAACTGTTGAACATAAAAGTACATTTTTATGTATTTCTTGCTTTGTATGAATCCCCGACCTTTAATATTTTAAAATACATTCGGTACAATTTATTGAAAAACATTTAAAAATATGTAATTTCTTTACTAGCATAAAAATTTTTTTGCAAGCAAGTGTAAGAATGTTAATGTAAATAAGAAAATACGCGTAATCATTATGGAATTCGGCGTGCGTGTGAAAATAATTATAATTTTATTATTCGTTACGTCTATTATTATAGTGTTTTAAAGAATCCTGTATGTTGTGGAAAGTGATGATGACATTTTGTACTTCAAATTCTTAGGAGATTATTTAAACTACCAGTTGTTCTGTTGGATTTGTTTTAAGTGAATTGCTATAGGGATATTTACTCAGTAGTACAAATATAAGCTGACTTAGTATATTACAAAACTAACGTAACTATTAAAAAAATGTCTTCAATGTCATAAGTGGTCCTGCATACGGTGCCGCCGTCACCCCGTACAAACGTGCGTACAGTCCGGTAACGGAATGAATGAAACGGAGGGACCGAGAAGATATTGTTTTAATAGTTTGGGAATGCCCTTGCTGTCTGAAGTAATTATTCTTGCCCAGGCTATAAAGCTCCCTTGATTTCGTAAATCACAATATGACCTAATACACAACGTTATACTAAATCAGCTCAGAAGTCCTGCAAAAACAAATTCTTCTTCCCTATCTATTGTTTGCATTGCCACGGCTATAATAATAGTAATTATTGAAAAGTAAACGTATTCATTATGAGTAAGTACCAAAACAAACTATAAAACATTTTTGCTTTTAAAACAAATCCAACATCACATCACTTAATATTATAAAAAACGTTATAGCTACATTAGATTTGTTAAATAAAACGTTTCATCGCATCTACCACCGAAGCCGTAATCCAAATTAGATGTTACAGCACTCACTTAAGGTTCATAATTGTTTGCACAACTAATGTAAGCTTAGTTTTTAGTCAGGCTTAAAGAAATAGGGTATTAAAATCGTTGTGCGTGAATTCTGTTTACAGTGGACCTACTAGAAAATTGGTGCCAACGAAATCTTAACTTAGTTTAAAAAAAAATAACCACTTCGAGCGTAGTCTGAAATTTTTTAACCAATATTCTACCTTTCCATTCTACAACAAAGTTGACAATCTGTATAATAATATTCTATTGTGACTCGTGGCAAATTGAGCATAGTAGGGCAGAAGCAAAGAAGAGTTCTACTTCTCTATGTTTCCATATGTTATGTCCTTGTGGTATTTTATTATGGCGGCAAGGGCAACACTCATTTTTATCTCAGACAACACTGTGTAGTCACGAAAACGACAACTTTTTATGTATGTGACTCTTCAAATTAAATAAGATTTTTTTATATTGAAATATGACTGATGCTAGTAAGTCCACTCAAATACAATTTCTATTAGTCTTAGTATTGCTGTTTTCACTAGAAAATAAATGTTTTCATACATTATAACGCAGGTAAGATAAAGAAACAAAACTTTACCACTTCTAAAACCTCCAATTTTTGTCCAAAAACGTTTTAAATGCACATTTTAAGTACATTCATTCTGTAGTGAACATTTATTTCAAATTCGAAATTAGTTTTTCATTAAATATTCTATGGATACCCTACTGTCAATGGAGATAGCTATTTTGATGGCAATAAGAGAAAATTAATTCATTTTTTTATGGAAAAATGGATCATATGATGGCAGGAAGTCAACAACGCTCATAGACACCTCACATCTTAGAAGTCACAAGTGCGCCCCTAGCTATCTCAATTTTTAAAAGAGTTTCCAAGTATTGGTCGACTTATGACAATATTATATAAAGTACATCATATCTATCACATATAGATGTTAATTAAGATAAAAGATACTTGGAATATAGAGATGTGCTTATTAACACGACCACAACACAAAAACTTGTAAAACTTGTAGTTATTATTACTTTTTTATCATCTAGCCATTGACATTAGAGTATCGGAAATATGACCTCCCCTTTCCCCCCTTACAATTAACACCACACACGCAAACAAAATTACGTACCCACTACACTCAACAATCGATAAATCTCTCAACATTGCACTTACAACACTACGGTCAGCAAAACAAGACACTACATAAATGTGACAAATATTTTTCAGGGAATAATTAGATATGTATTGACTTTGTGCTAAGTGAGATAAGCTTGACTATGTATATTGTCACCGGCAAATAACAAGATCGTTTAGAATCCAACAGAAGTTTACAATTTTCGTAGGAAATACATAAACTTACGGTTCTTGTTAGTTTCCGGTGACATTTACTTAGTGACTTGTAGAAATGTGTGATATTTGTGGGATGCTTAAAGCATAAATTGTCCGCTAGTTCGTTGGTTATGAAGCGAGACTGGAAGCTTTCGATCGGGCAGAAAACCATTATTATTTACGACTATGTCACAAATAACATGATAACCCCGATAGACATGAGAGATAAAAAAATGCACACATTAATATTAAATGTATTAGCTCAATATAGCTCAATCAGTTGGTTTAATAAACATCAAACGTGGAGATCCCTTTAATCCTAGGGGTTATGAACCTATTATAAATAATAAACTTTGAACCCATCAAAAGACACACCAAAATTTACTTTAATGGAAAATAAACATTTACTAAGTAGTGTTTGTTTTGCTGACCGTACATGCGACGTATGTTACGCGTGGTTCGACCGTACAGATCACAGTTGATTGTTACCTATCACAGACTACCCCTACCGAGCTCCTTCA